TCCACAGCCCCAAGGAACGTAGCAAACACGATGGGAGGGAACCAACTTCCCAGGAAGCATATCACCCTCATGTTCTGCTCTCGCCACATAAAGAGCTTCTCCACCATCCTCCCCGCCGACAACGGCTCCGATGGGGACCTCGCCTCCGCTTGCCTCCACCCATCTCGTCGGGTCCTTGCACGGCTCTAAACACCTCATAAGCAGTCTTAATTTGTAAAACTTATGTCTGCTTTCTTCGTCGATTACGTTTCGTTGACTTTAATCGCCAAACATGTTGGTAATTGTGCCGTTTCATTACACCCATTTTTAAGCCTGATAAGCCGTCTAAAGAATAGCGTTGAAGGTGCACTAACACACAGTTCAGTTGTTTTTCTTGCGTGAATGAAGCTCACCTTACCTTCTTTTCTTTCTATTTCTTTGGGTGTGCTCTGTTCGTTATTGGAGCTGGCGACTTTGGACGCCGTCGCGGTCGGGGTGCACGCCTTCGCGGTTTGTGTACACGCCTTCGTGGTTTGTGTACACGCCTTCACGGTTGAGGAGCACGAGTTCACGGTTGGGGTTGAATAGGAATATGAATAGGAGTAGACGACCCGCTGGCCCCCGCATTGTCTTCTGGGGCACGACATTTTCAAGGACAACCGAATCGATCCTGCTTAAGTTCACTATCTGTCAATGAAGAGAACAATGTGAATATGTGACGATGTGGCACCAATTCGAGCTCCAATCCAATGAGAGTTAGTCATATCTGCCATTTGTCTTTTGTACCATAAGACTGGGACTTCTGAAGGCTGATTCAGGCTGAAGATAATGGTTTCTTAAATCGAACCTCTAAATTCAAGGAATAGAATGCGATCTCCTTTCTTCTAAATCATTCATATAAATTGCCACACAGTCCTAATATATTCAAATTCATCACCGGACAAATTCCTGGGGCTTACTGCCATGACGATATCATATTAATTTACAAGTACTGACAGTTACGGGAAGGGAGGATTTAGCAAATGTTTCACTACAACTAAGATGGATGAAAGGGGGGAAGCAATTGTCAGAATGAACAAATTATAAGAATGAGGACACTTTTGCAATTGACTGTCCTGCTCACGTGGTGAACCTTGGTGAACCTCCACCTATTTATAGAGCTTTCGTTCTAATTATCTGTCATTAACAAAGGCGCCATGAGTATACAGGATATATTATCATTGTTATCTTACTTTCTTCTTCCTCCATTCCCTATGTACGCAGTAGTCATAGATACTGTACCATTCATGACAGTGTGCATGCGCAATCTTCCCTCTGGGTCGGAGTGACAGTTTATGACTGAATCCTTCACTTCCCTTCCAGCGCTCGCAAAAGACTGATATGTAACAGATAATGGGAGAGAGCGGCTTCCAAGTAATACGCTGTCGTGAAATAAATATGGAGTTTCCCACCCAGACAACGGCAACTTTACCATGTGTCTACCTGAGCCAATTATGTGCATCAATCTGAATCCTACCAACGTCAGGCTTCACCGTCTTCTAGCTGAGTTATACCTTTTTGTGAAAGCATGGTGAAACAATTTCAAGCAGTTGGAAAGGTCATCCCCATGTGAATACTAAAATACGCAATGTAATAACGAGCTGGCGTACCAGGACAAAACTTTTCCTGCATCAGTAATGATTCTCGTTAAGTTTCCAGGATGCAACAGTGCAAATCTGCCAAGAGATTGAAGCTTTTCTTAAGTCTGAAATGTACTTGAGTTTTTTTTTATTAACAACCCCTGGCATTGTAAACCGTTAAAGGACACTTCATCACTTGCCACTGCAGGGTTTTGGTTGACTCACTTCATGCACCAGTTACGATCCTTTTCTTTTACTTCATGTTTATGGACGGACAAATTCGGAATCACTTGCTTCCCAAACGAGAAATTTCAATCCACCAGGTGTCCATGTGTCTGTAATATGTGGTTGGTAAAGGAGTGGTGGATTGTGATATATCGACTATCGACAGAAAATAGAACGAGGTTGCCAACCACCACCAGGTCAAGGCAAAACCGAGGTGCGAAACGCGTCACTTGGCAAGGTCACCACAGAGGTATCCACTCATCAGACTTCATTTCCCTTCTCCTATCGATACGATCACGAGGAGCGCCTCATTAAGCAAAGCAACTACTGTCAAAAGGGACTTTAAACTTTCCCGTCGGAAAGGGGAAGTGGTTCGTTCAGTAGCGTCACGTTCAGGAGAACATTTAAATGTAAAAATCACGTCTCTCAGATGAAATGGAACTGGTATCGACCTTCACAACGAACCTCGCTCTTAATATGTTGTCTTATCGGGAATGCCCTTCCTGGGGCTCTCTCGCATGGCAACTGCCATAATCAAGACCAGATAGTGCGCTGCACACCGAGAGTCAACCATGATTGCACACAGGCACTCACTTTTATATGAATGGCAGCACTTATAGGAGGCACGCCATATCAGTGACAGATATATATTCCAGGTATTTATTTCCTTCTATCCAATATGGGTGGAGCTGACTATTTAGATAACACTCGTTTTCCCAACATCTGATGCTGCAAACATTTAAAAATGGTTTTTCTGAAACTTCATCGTAAACTTCATTCACCTGAATTTCCTGAGCGTATATGGTATATGCATTTGGATATTTGATCGAACCATGATGATGCTCATCATCCTAAAGGGGGTATGAAGCATATTCAAATGTGTGTTGTCACTTTTCAAATTTCCAGGATTTTCTTACTTGTGATGCTTAAGCTTCTCACCCTCGTTGTCTGATGTCGTAGAACTGATGAGGCTAGAATTTAAAAGAAATTGGTTGCATCATACAATTCTTCAGCAGCAATATAATTATTACTCACTTTTCAAAGGCTCCTACATTTCATGCAGTGATTGGTTAGTTGCCCGCCCTGTGTCCAAATCACCAACCATTCCAATCCGCCTGTCTCCAATGGCGCTTTCCTCATACCTTCTCCTACCAGCTTCAATAATATCAGCATCCTTTCGGCCGCATGGCGGGTTCTGCTACAGGAGGTTCAATGCTACGCTCCAATGGAGTTTACTGTCAGTCTCACTCTAAGGGGTCAGTGAATGAGAGAAAACGGATCTATCCCCGAATGAATCATTGACATCGTTCTTGACCAGTCGTACATTCAGTGCTCACTTATTGATCTTTGTTCAACGCTCGTTTTGCCTCCTTTACATTTTTGTATGTTCCACATGGGACTTATTAACCCTTTCGCTATTTAAAAAAAAGCCCTCAAGACCTCCACTGTGTTATAAGAATTGCGCTGTGTCTCTGCGAAACAATGGTTTAAGTTTAAATTGCCTCATCTTGAAAACTATTGATGATAGACCAATATGTGTTTAAAAATATTTATTTTCACACACAGAAAATTCAGTGCTTCAGGTCGATGCATTTTTTTCGCGAAAAAATCTGTCCTGCATGTGATGCGTCTTTATCGCATCGAATTTTGGATGCGATGAAAACGCATCGCATGGAGGACTACTTTTTTCTCGATGAAAATGCATTATTTGATTCTGCGTGTATAGGTCAGGTATATTAGGCGCTTCTGCTGCATTGAACATTTCGCGATGAGCTTTAGGCACATCGAAATTTGTCTTGCATGTCTTATTGTGGGAATGTAGTTGCGTTTGAGCCTAAAGCCCGAATACACGAACCTCATTCAGGTTAAACAACGGGACTTTTAGCGAAGGAGCTCTCTTTCTCCCATAGGAATCCATGTATTCCTAAAGGACTGTTAAATATCCATAGTTAACAGTTGGATCTCATATTGGCGATACGTGTTGCACAACCAACGCACCAAACGTAATACAAACACCGTATGAAACTGGACTCGAAGAATGAAGTAAGCGGTTACATAGGAATCCCTTCGAGACGCACGAGCCACTCGCACGGGTCGTCATTTTGCACTTTTCAACGTCCTGGTTCTCATATCACCAGACCTTACTGCGTATCTCTATCAGGTGTCAAAGCAATCCATATCTTCATCTCAGAAGTTTGTGATGATTTGTACAGGGTGTTCATTTTATCAGTTAATGGAATACGGAGGTTAACATGTGTCTAGACGATGCGCAGCCACTCAAAACACCCTTCCGACTCGGCTCTACACGCATTTTGGTTTTGCGAACGCCTTTCAGGCGACCCTGCACGGTCGGGAAGCGAGAGATATGAATCGAAAATCCAGTTGATATCTTTTTCTCTTGAGAAAAATAAATCGAAACGCGAAAATTGAGAGAAGAATTTCATCTCGATTTACCGATTTATCTGAGTGCAGGAACAGCCAGAGTGTTATCAGAAAAGTGCACGAATTTTGAGATTTATATAAATCCATTGACAGGCTTGATTTTACCAAAAGCAGGGATAATAAAATGTTTATCAGTTTCCAGAGAGACTGAATAGAAGGCCGTATTGGAATGCCCATTAAAATTAGTGCCAAAATAATTGTACGAAATTCCTTTACCTATAGGTTTCTCCTTTGTTTTACCCTTGAATATTCAATTAGTGGTGTTTTAACAATAAGGTCTCATGCAAATGTATATCTGTATGTTATTTCATGTTCAAGGAGGTTTCCATGACGCTAATGTCGATGAAGACATGTTTGAAGACAAAATATCCATGAGTATAACATTGCAATATCCATGGGTATTACTATTGGCAGGTAAACCTGATGCAAAAAGGAGAATACAAAATGCTCTGTTGTGGAAGAGATCTCCCAGATCTTCAGAGATAAACGACCCAGTGACATATGACAGTTTATCTAAGTTATTGCCAGCGTTTCATTAACGTCCTCGAGAACGTTCTCTTGACTGCTTAAAGATCCGAAATTGTAAGCGGGGAAATATAGTTCAAATTATGCGTTTTTTGAACTACGTGAATTAATCACGGACTTGTACTTAATGTTTCCAGGAAAAGGGCTAAATATTTTTGTTTCGTTTTTTATGATTTGTCCGATATGCAACCAACGTTTTATATATGTTCATTTCATCATTTACATTGCTTTCAGTCCGAGTAGAAAGTACTGGTTGAAAGTACTATCTTCCATTCTCGGCGATAGTCTGGTGAAGAAGCGTGGGGCAATTCAGACATACTATGGAAAATTCCATCATATCTGCAGGTAATTTATATTCAGGAGTCAGATACAACCTTCACTGAATTCCTTTTTCGTGGGAGGAAAGTTGTCAAACGTTTCCATCTCTTTCGTTCTATGTTCTTTTGCATTAAGACTCCTTGGACTGGGTTATCTTTAAATGTCAAGTTGTTGAATAATTGAAGCATCTTCCTTTATGGCTTATGTGGAGAAAGGTCAGCTACGGTGGGGACTAATTCCAATTTTTGGGGATTTTGCGGACTAATTCCAATTGCAAAAAGAAGTGACACACTGCAATGACTACTTTGGTGCCACGTAGCGTCGGTTGTGCGACTGTTTACTTCAAGCCATTGTCAGAAGGATACCATTGATATGCTTGAGGAAAACATGAAATTTTCGACGAGTGTCCTTCAAAAGCGGCATGCATCTTGATCATAAAGCACCTTAATTGTGCGCTAGGAAGAAGTTCATTCTTGTATATTGGCCGTCTAAGTAGTGTTTGAAAACGCGCTGAACGGCCTCCACAGACCTTCCCGCCTTATAAACCCAGTTATTCCGTGCTCCATTCGATTCCATCGCGGCAATTGCTCTGCCCAAGCTTGAATATATTGATGAATCTAGAAAGGGAAAGTAATCGAAAATGTATATTTACTGGCGTCCAATATACGAGGTGCGATCCAAAAGTTTCGGGAATTGACCTCTAGAGCGCCACCTGTTGAAGCTAACATTAAAACGTCGTGTAGGAATAGTGGTGAGTCCGTTAGGTTTCAAATGATATGACCTTGACTAATGTAAGACCCTTTAGTTGGCTCCCAGAGCAATTTAAGTGAGGTCGTGTCTAAGTGCATCTGTGATGAGCCTTCACGAGCAAAGAATTTGTGTCAACTTTTGCGTTAAATTGGGCAAAAAATGGTCAGAAACTTGTCAAATGCTGAAGCAAGCTCATGGCGTGGACGCAATGAGCAAAACAAGAGTTTACGATGGGCATTAAACAATTTAAGGAGCACTGAAGACGCGGAACGTTCAGGTCGTCCTTCAACAGCAAGGACATATGGACACATTGCCTCACCAATAGCCTCATTCGGTCTGATAGGCGAATGACCATCCGAACTGTGAATCTTTCTATCACAACGTTTTAAGACGGTTACGAGAGGACGTGCGATGAAAGAGACTGCAGAAATGGAGCAGCGCCGAATGGTTCTTTCATCACGGCAACGGCCCCCCCCTCACTCCGCCTTCTCCGCGCACCGCGCGTTTTTCGCAAACAAATCAGATGGTGACGCTCATGCATCCTCCCTACTCACCCTATTTAGCACCGTCAAACTTTTTTGTGCTTCGAAAAATGAAAACCAAGTTGAAAGGGCGGCGCTTGAACAGCATAGAAGAGATTCAACAGGAAACGCAGGCGGTACAGAGCAATATCCCTCAGTTGGAGTTACAGCGCTATTTTGAAACATGAAAGGACCGGTGGACTCGCTGCATGAACCGCAGAGAGGATTATTTTGAAGGAGATCATGCATATTTTCTATTTTATTTTGTGTGTTGTCTATCAATAAATTCCCGAAACTTTTGGATCGCACCTCGTACAGGGTGTCCCATAAGTCACTATGTCATACAATTTCGAAAAATCGCAACTACTACACAGTTGACACCAAAATGTAATATTAACAAAATAATAGTAAGTTATTTGGAATCATATTTTTCAAAAATGGAGGTTCTG